TTGTTTTTTTCAGTAATAAAATAGTGAAGTTTGAAAATGAACCGTATCAAGTAAATGAATAAAAATATTTTCTCAGTCATCGTCTTTTAACATTGGATCATGTATCTCTTACTGTAAAGCAAGTGCCTCAGTTATACTTTTGGACTATTTCCTTTTTTCAATGTTAGAAGGTTGGAAATCATATTAGGGAAATTAGGTTGTATCACCTGTACATAGCAGTGTGTTGCCAGAGTGTTCGCCGTACAAGGAATCCAAGCAAATAACTGGAATGGGTCTGGCTATATATTACTATTTTTAAAAACCACCATAAATACCAAATAACATGAAAAAATAAAACATTTCAAACTTTTATTTATAATAATTTTTGTATATCACTGTTATTTGCTTGGGTTTCCTGTGGTTGGTTGCCAGAAATTTTAAATCCGATMTCTTTACAAACAAGAAAGATGATTATCAAATACAGCAATAACTAGTAGTATCCATGTGCGCTTAAAAAGTGCCTTTYATTCTTGAAAGAAATAGTTTGGTGTTTCGTAACCGTCACTAAGATATGATATTGTTATTATTATCATGATTTCTATTTATTTGAACTATGAAAGTTCTTGCCTACTTCAAATATTACCTTGCAAAACATATTGGGGGAAAAAAGCAACAAATAAAAGAGATAATTCTGATAAACACATATTTCTATACATTATATATAAAATGATATGGAAGACTTAAATACTATTAAAAAACTATTATTGAAAATGTGTTGTTCTTGTGAGATGCATATACATACAACAATCCCTTCTGGAATCGAACCAGAGCTCTTAGAAAAATCTAAGTGCGACCATCAAGGATTTGTGGCGTATGCATAGCTTGTAAGTAGTGTACAAGTGTCGTTTGCAAATGAGTAGATTTTTTATCCCACAATATGCTGCATTTAGACAACAGGTKAGGTCTGAGTCMGCCTTCATAAATTACTTCAGCTCACATGAATTACATTAGCCTAAGRAATTATGTATCATCATTCTCAGACCAACCTGCACATCTAGAAAAAAAAATTTTGTTTGATTTTGTCTTGGTGTTATGACCACTTTACTGTGGTGGAGGAGGTAAACGTTCAGCTGGGCTGAAATGAGCTGAGCACATTGTCAGTTCACCATGTTGCAGCATTACAGCTCGAATTGTCACAAAAACATCTGGGTCAGCTCTTGCACACACCACCAGCAGATGGAGCATTGAAAGAGGACAACAATTTATCATCGTATCTCTTATTTACACTAGTGTAGCGATAAAAGGGGAGGTTTGGGTCACCTTTTCGTGAAGTATAACAGGAACTTTGGAACGGCCTCATGAAATGCTTTCTCATCGAATTTTGTATCCCAAGAAACAATAAAACGGTTGTTGTTGTGAGGGATATAACATATTTCCAGTATCCAGTCTCACCATGGTATGCAAAAGGACTRTTGCATTTCTCATCGCACCTTCAYATTCCAATGAAACATACCCWGTCATYGTTTTTGCACTACTATTGTGCTCCCCCTGTCAAGAGAAACATACCTGTCGATGCCCATAGTTGAGAAATCACGGTTGTTTCTAAACTAGGGCATTCAAATTCATGATTGTACCTTGATCTCACATCCTTTGATAGGCCCCTCCTTGTGCTAATTAGCCACATTTAGAGTACGTACAAACCTCCCCTCATAAGCATGGTTATTTCTTTCCAGTCAGTTGGCTATTGTTATTGATAAGACTTTCTCAACATCCCGCTGCTTTTTCCCATGTTAGGCCTGTACATGGATCATGCACACATTGGACAAGGTCTCTTAGGTTGAAATCAGGCACAGCACCATTTCTAACACTGATGGCTATATCTCTAAGAACATGGTTATGGTCTTCCTTTTTGTGTTGTGGTTCGTCATTATCCTCAACTTGCTCAGGGACATACAGATGTTATCTTAAATTAATTCCTTGTAGGGTGTATGTCTAAATTTTATTGTGTTAAAAATACATGGCCATCAAATATTTCAGCAAGTCTGCTTTTGCCTCAGTTTTATCAGTGTTACCTAAAAAAAMCCAATGAAGTATCAAAGTGCCTTTCACTCCTTATAATATAAGGAGTGAGGTACCTGAAAACATCAGGAGTGAGGTACATTTGGGAATGAATGAAATAAAAACATCTTTTTTCCAGTTTAGCAACACAAAAGTACGCCCTTTCTTTCATAGTCAGAGATTTGTCATACATTAAGATTGATAGTCAGATGAAAATTAACAAAGTATTAGCTTACCAGCACCAGCTACCTGAGGATAAGGGTTATAATATCGTTGGTACTTGGTTCTTTGTAGAGAAACAAGTGCATCTTGAAAAGATAGCCAATTTGCTGCCAAAGTGTTTTCAAGAAAGTGGATGTCTTCTATGAGAATGGTTCCACCTTAATGTATACAATAGATATTATTTTTTAAAACTACACTTTTGTTTACAACATAAAATTCATCCTACTTACCAATGTGCAGGGGTTTTAAATACAATTCAATCTGGTGTACTGGCAATTTTTTTGGCCTCGGATGTTGCATCCATGATAATGTGTATTATGTTCACAGGCCTATTTGTCCCTTGTGTCCATATCAAGTTGAATTCACCAGTCACAAATCCTGATAATTACAAAGTACAAACAAAAGGTATTAACAGCTGATATCTGCATTTTTAGATATAATTAATATGATAAAATGACTAAATACCAACAGCTATCATCTCAAATGGCCTTCATTTCATTTTCAACTCCTTGCAGTTCTCGCTGAGGGCTCAGCAATGTTGACTTTTGCCTGACAAGTAGAAAAAAAATGAGACCCTAAGCATGAACGCCATTTATCAGGAGAAGTAGTGATATGCAACAAACCTTCAAAGGATCTCGCTGAAGTGCGCCTGGTGCTTGACCTCTGGGACTAACAGCAAATATGTGTGTCAAAGTCTCTTGGGTTGGTTTAGATGTATTTTTATTCTGGAATCATGCTGTACATATTGTCGCGTTYGGTTCGAGCCATGGCTTGCATTGAATTTACAKCATACCGATGTCCATGTGTGGGGTGCTATGACATCCCCCTCTTTGTGTTCAATTGTTCAATGTTCATCAATCTTATGGTTAATTGGTGTTGATCAACATATGTAAATGTTCAATGTCAACTTATATAGACAGGTTATATGCTTTTTTTTGTATCAACTCTTTACAAACGTAGTCTAATAGGAGCTTTGATTGTACGCCCATATCTAGTGCCGGTATAGCTTGCTGATTGATTGTTCTGCTCCTTTGGTTTATAATCACTTAAAGGTACATCTCGGCTTCTGGTAGCTTCAGTCATCTTGTGGTCTTTCTTGTACCAATAACGCTGGTTTACCAAGTAGGTCTTGGGGATGATGTATGTTAAGTGCAGGTTGGGTTTCTTGGTAGTCCCTTCTTTCTGGTTCTTTAGCTGGCTTGTTCTCRGTCTTAGATGTTCTCTGGTTCTCTGGTAGAGCTTACCGTTCATTTCGACAACTTATGTCCTTGGTTCGCTTATAGGGTTTGGTCCCCTTGTGATTTCACTCTTGTCCCACATTCTTTTGTGCGTATTGTACAAATATACTGGCTCCTCGACAAGTAATGGTCTTGTGTCAGATTTACTTGCCTTTCTGTTATAGTACTCTGCTTGTTTCACTTGGGAGAGTCTGATTGCTTCCTTGTGGTGACCATTGTCTGGATGTGAGGATTGCAGGACATGGTTGCTGCTTGGAATAAGCAGTCAGGGCTTACGTCCATACAATAACTCA